ATCATTCTCTAGCACTGATAGATGGGAGGTCATTGACATGCTTTCTGATTTCTATATTCTCCCTTACCCTGCAGATCATTCTCTAGCACTGATGGATGGGAGCTCACTGACATGCTTGTTGATTTCTATATTCTTCCTTACCCTGCAGGTCATTCTCTACCACTGATGAATGGGAGCTCACCGACATGCTTGTTGATTTCTATATTCTTCCTTACCCTGCAGGTCATTCTCTACCACTGATGGATGGAAGCTCATTGACATGCTTGTTGATTTCTACATTCTCCCTTACCCTGCAGATCATTCTCTAGCAATGATAGATGGGAGCTCATTGACATGCTTTCTGATTTCTATATTCTCCCTTACCATGCAGATCATTCTCTAGCACTGATAGATGGGAGCTCATTGACATGCTTGTTGATTGCTATATTCTCCCTTACCCTGCAGATCATTCTCTACCACTGATGGATGGGAGCTCACTGACATGCTTGTTGATTTCTAATTCTACCTAACCCTGCAGATCATTCTCTAGCACTGATGAATGGGAGTTCACTGACATGCTTGTTTATTTCTACATTCTCCCTTACCCTGCAGATCATTCTCTAGCACTGATAGATGGGAGCTCATTGACATGCTTTCTGATTTCTACATTCTACCTAACCCTGCAGATCATTCTCTAGCACTGATGAATGGGAGTTCACTGACATGCTTGTTTATTTCTACATTCTCCCTTACCCTGCAGAACATTCTCTAGCACTGATAGATGGGAGCTCATTGACATGCTTTCTGATTTCTACATTCTACCTAACCCTGCAGATCATTCTCTAGCACTGATGAATGGGAGCTCACTGACATGCTTGTTGATTTCTACATTCTCCCTTACCCTGCAGATCATTCTCTAGCACTGATAGATGGGAGCTCATTGACATGCTTTCTGATTTCTACATTGTACCTTACCCTGCAGATCATTCTCTAGCACTGTTGGATTCAAATCATTTACTTTTCTTCTTTTACAAGCTACTTGTTGACAGAAATATTTTGCAGCTCGAACAATATCCTGACGTCCATCTTCCAAAGATAAAAGGTTCACATGAATTCTACAATCATTAACTGAAAAAAATCGGAAATACTATTGAATGATTTATACTGCCTTGCATGTTTATTTTTACTGAAGGAAAAATAAAATGCATTAAATTGTATCATGTACTGAAATGGATGTTATTCACTGAATGACTGATTGTCACATTACATGGTATCTACTACATATGATTGCAGTGCAGTGTAATTATTGCCCTCCTGTATCACCAAGATTAGTATTTTCCAGTTGAGCTGGTAAATTGAAACTTGCATGCCCGATGGTCTGATAAAAATTTGTTCATGATCTGCTTCAAGTAAAGTTTGAAAATTTTACTCTATTATTCGATGAGGCTTTGTTTCAGTCATTCTCTGCCGACTCGTACACAGATTTTAAAACTGAAAACAATTTGAAATGGGGGGATTTTAATACATGCAAGTGAGAACCAAAAGGACTGAAAACCCCCCAAAAATATATTGCATAACAATGTGTGATATATGTTACGAGACATATGTTACTGTTTGTTCATTGGCACAGTTCTTGAATTCAGTAAGTTTTCTTACATAGTGTGAGGAGTATTGTCCAATACTTGGCAACAAATGCTCACTTAACTTCTATACTTTTCAAATTGATGGTATTAGCATATTAAATCTAGTGAAAATGAACCATGAAGCAAACTTAAAGCGCGGTGGTCGTCGTGCAGCGCGTGTTCAAATTTCATGTAAATAAACAATGTATTTTACACGCGTTGTATACGTCACTATGAGTCCCATATCGAACAGGACGCGGTACGACGACTACCGCCCTTTAAATTAAGAAGCATTTCAAGGCTAAAATTACTCTCATCTTGAGGGTCTAAAAGCTTGAAAACATGTAACATAAATTTGAAGGTACATTCATGAAGAAAATTTATGGGTCTTATTCAGAACAATTTCATTCTAGGAAGCTTGAGGTCTAGTCAAATACATACCATATATAGAATAAAATATTGATTTCAAATTTTCCCCTCATGTCCCTCCTGCTGTGGAATTGCCCATAGGTAAAGAGAGTTACGTCGGCAATAAGGAAACACAAATGTTCATAAAAATACACAATTTATTACAATATTATTTACATATCATCTGAATTTCATTCTAAAAATTATTAGGGTATGTGGGGGAAAACAGTCAAAGACAGGATCTGTATATTTAAACAAAAGCCATGTAATTAATTTGCTTTGTATTTGCGCTTGTTCACATACAAAATTTAGTCAAGCTTAAAATTTGGGTAAGCCTATATAAGACCTACCTTCTTTCTAATGTGAAACCACCTTAGTTACTAAAGCACACGAAATAAACAGGCATAATGTATATAAGTAACTAGTGTCAATGTAAGTTTAACAATGTGAATGAAAACACCCAAAATATAAGCTATCACCATCAATTTTGTCTAGATAAAACAAGCCATGCATGGTTAGTTATCGAATATAAGATATATAGTTTTGTTTATAGTAATATACATGTAGCTGGAACATAAACATGTCAGGAATATGATTATGATGATTGTTTAACATTAAAATGATTGACATTTGTATCTGATTGAGAGATATTGCTCTGGAACAGCATTAATTGAAACAAAATCAGCCATTTTGAATACATGTATAATGAATATATAAAATTTGAACATAATCAGTCACAGCAAGTCGGAGATGCAGCACTAGAACCACATTCATTAAAACAAAAAGGCTGCCAGTCGGCTATTTTGAATCTTATCTGATAAACAAAATGGTGTGCATCAAGGTCCTATAATGTCTAACGTATATACCAAGTTTGAACAAATCCATCTGTAAACAGCTGAGAAATGCTTGATTTTGAGATTTTTTTATCCCAAAAATGGCCGCCATTCGGCCATCTTGAATCAGATCGTTAAATAAATTGACGTGCATATGTATAATATCATGTATTATGTATGTGTGAAGTTTGGTTGTGATTGGTCCTGGCATTTCTGAGATACAGGTTCGAACGCAGGCACACACACACGGAAGTCCCTGTTTTCGGACTGCGTCCGAACAGGGACTAAAAAAAAGAATGTGATAAAAAGACATTATTTACAAGATAAAAGTGAACAGTTTTTACCTTTATTATGAACTTCTATCCCACCTCTATAAAGGTGGAACAAACATTTTGTGGATTCATTACCCAAAACTTCTTCTTGTTTCTTCAAAATTTCATTATTTATTTTTGTACAGTTTCTTTTAAAGTCACCTATAAATGAAAGTATTATCAAGGTTGATTTAACACTGATCAAGACACAATATGACATAATAACACAGGGATTGAAAATTACTCAGACAAATGACAATATTTTAGTCTATGGGAAATTTTCACTGATCCTTGTTTGAAAGAATCTTGCTAGTTTGTGGTTGGCCCAGCATCAGCTTGGAGAAGAATATTCAACCAAAGAAGAAACCATCCTCCATACTGATGAGACCTCCAAGTATGGAGATAAATATGGGCCTTATGCTGCACGTGACAAAGATGGGGCTTACTACTGCTTAGGTCTGTGGGAATTACCCACCAAATCCGCACAAAACACATTGGACACATTCCAAACTATACAACAAGATATTAAGATATTAAGACCAGATCCAGTGTGTCAGACTGTGATGTTGGGAAGAAGATCTTGGGCCATATTTCTAGTACTATGTCAGACAAGGCTGCTACTGAATGCAAGTTTAACAGATTACTAGACATTCATCGTCTGCAGATTCTTCCTGAGGTCAAGCCCAATTACTATCAATTGACAGAAGATCGCAGTTCAGTAGACCATCTGATGAACTTCTTCTGTGGGCTGCACAGTCTGGTACACATGGCAGAAACAACCAGGGGCATGTTCACTGCTTTAGAG